GGAAATGGGTTGAGATTGTGACGGGAGATTTAGCAGGGGTAGGGGATGGCTGCCACAAGGCAGGTCTGACTTAAAAGTGAGTTCTTGTTTGTCATTTCCCTTTGCCTGATGTGTGCCAAAGAAAACCATTTAAACCTAATCTTGAAGGTTACAGGAAGTTGGTATGGAAGGGACACAAATCCCTACTAAATGTTGAATGTAAAACAAGGGACAACAATACTAAAGGCATTTCCTACATTTTTGGTGTCAAATATGTTTTTGTGCTCAGAAAGGGGGAAAATTAAAAGGCTGAACCAGAAAAATGAACTCTCCATCTTGTTCTTTCTCGGTAAGTGGGTTATTGGAATGAAGGCAAAAGTAAAATTCAACAGAAAACCCTCAAGAGCGAGACAGAACTGGGCCAATCATCCATAGAGCCCCTTGTGCTTCAGGGGCTTTGAAGAGCCCTTGTTTGTGGCTAAATGTCTGAGCAATGGTAGTTTTTGCTTGGGTTGTTCTGAGTCAAGATAGCTGTTTATAAAACAGCAGCCATGTTTCATCTCAAAATGGGTTCTGTTTCTGATGAAGGAAACAGAAGTAGGCCGGGCTTAGTCCCAGGCAAGTTACTTAGCCTCCTTCAACCTGTTTCTTCATCTGTAAAATCAGGGAAGTGGTAGCATCTACCTCATAATAGGGCTTTTGTGATGTATGCATGAGTTGATAGGTATCTAGTCCTCAGCAACAGTGGTTGTACACAGTAGGTGCTCACTATTACAGCCATTATTAATAGAATAAATTTATTTTATATCTTAGAGAAACATTTCTTAAATTGTCATATATGGGATTAGATGTCCTTTCGGCTAGAGTTTGTACCTATACTCAGGCGAGGTTTGAACTTAACTGAAATTCTGAGCTTGGTGGTATGGCAGGAGAACAAGCAGATGCAGCAGGGTGGGAGGCAGTGGTGCAAGGTGTTGTGGTCATAGAAATATTAATTTCCATGTCAGCCTTTGGTTTAATTTGGCACTGACTGTTGTTCAAACAAAGCAGCCTTGTGAGTGGCAGAGGAAGGGAGAGGAGGAAAGTCAACACATTCTTGGAAATAAGATGTGGTTTTTGCTTTAGATATTTTGTTTTTTTTCTTCAGTCACAGAAATATTTCTTTGCTTTCAGCTCACAATGAAAATCCCAGGACAAGGTACCCAAGCTTCAGAGGAAACTTTCGGTTTAAGATAGATGACAAGGAGCCAGCAAGACTTTCTTTCATACTTGTTTTTAGTACAAGAACCCCTCCGATAGGGTCATTTAGCCTAAAAAGAAAGCTTTGCATATACTTAGAGCCACCCTCCCCTTAAGCCTCTCTCCTGTAGCTGTGGTATATGTGTTACTAAAAGTTGAATGTCTGCTATGTTTCCTAATGACTTTGTCCCAAAGTGTTTATAGGAGTATATAATGTATGTAGATACATCATGTATCCATTCTTTCTATATATTTGTGTGTCAGGCCTTTCTAATTTTAGAATAAAAAATTAGTATAAGGCTTGGTAGTACTCTCCAATAGTTGCTCCCTTAGAACTCAGACGTCTGGCTGGATGTTATAGGAACTGGTCCTAGGTCAATATTCAAAGCACAGGGAAGCTCTGTGTGACTAAGTCAGTGGAACTTTCCTGTTTTCTGGTTCTGTGGTATATGTTTAAAGCAAACTCTCAAGCAGAAAAGTTTGGGCAGCCACCTCTCTACCACGAAAACAAGACTTTTTTGCAATAGTGATACAATAAGTGGTCCCTTGTGATGGTAGCTTGTGTAGATGGCGATGAGTTAGGGAATTGGTATTGTTTTCTAATCTCATTCCTCTAGAGATAACATGCACTTATTTGACACTCAGTGTCTGCTCTCAGAGAGTTTACACTTTAGTTGAGAAACCATACCTTAACACATTCTGTGCAGTAACGACACAGACCAATATATTCACATTACATAGGTTCACAATAAATACAGTATTTTTTCTATTAAATTACATATGTAGGTCAAAACATGGAGAGAAAAATACTATATTTTATTTTCACACTTTATTTATTTATTTATTTTACAGGCAGATTTAATTTTATTAGTAAAAGTCACAAGTACGAAAAGACTTATAGGCTGACTTTGAGCTGTGTGCTTTTAAAAATGTCTCCATTGATACATTAACAAGAAAAAATACTATGCATGTTTTTGCTTCCAATTTTGAGTCTTCAGCAAGAGTTGGTGAAATCAACAGGGTATTAAAATAAAACCCAGGAAAACTCGGTTACTTCTTTCCAATTGTCTGCTGTTTTTCTAGTCTCTTTGAATTCCATTCCCAATTAGTTGAGGACTAAGTGCTGGTCAAAGACAGACTTTTGCTGCTCTTGAACTTGAAGTTTCCAGCGCTGCTGAGCATACTCTACCTTGTTCAGAACATTGGCTCGACTCCGGGAGCGGGCCAGCACATCATGGGCATTTGCAAAAGGCTGGTGATCCCCAACATCGTCATCACTCTGTATCAACTGTGAGTGTCCAAAGAGGCGCCTCTTCAGTATGGGCTCAACCAGGGTAAGATCTACCATGTACAGAAGCAGAAGCCCCAAAATAGAGAGATAAATTGTAATACTAACCTTAATTGTGAGCTTCTCTCCTCGTACTTGCACTCACAGCGCAAACAGTATGCCTCTACATCAGGCCCGCGCACAGGCATGGGCTCCACAACATGAAGGCAGTCACAATCTTTTTGGGGTATGTTCTAATTATAAATTTGCCCAGAATTCTCTTTATAGGGAGGACAGACACATTTACATCGGACATCCTCAAAATTCTTGGCGGCGTCTGTCAGCTGCACCAGCAGCAGCACGGAGAACGCCAAGCAGGACAGGTCGAGCATGGAGCAGAGCCGAAGGAGGCATCCATTGCGGCAACCCAGAGGCCGCCCCCAGCCGGAGCCCAGAGACCTGCTCCTGGTTCGGGACCCGACTCGGGATCCTCCGTCCGCACTTCCCCTTTCACACTTTAAAAGCCATATATAACTTACTAGAGATGGCCAATTTAAAAACTTTAATGCTTTGTCTCTGTATGGATAATGGAATATATACATCTATATTATTGCTGATAGTTCCAGTTCAGATTTCCTACAGGTAACTGTTTTTCCTATATAAGGATATGTTTTTACAGAAAGCTTCACAAAGTATGCATTTTGCACTATAGTGACAATTAAGTCTTCATGCCCAATAATGGTCTCTCTTTTTTCCCTCATTTCTAGAAAGATAAACGCTAGGAATTGAATTTTTTTAATGTCCCTGAGTAAAAAGAGAGACTAGGATGCCTATACCACTTCATTAATTCATTTGTATTTAAATCATTTTTGTAAATGTGTTTTGAATCTGACTGGATAAAAAAGAAATCCCTACCCTGAGGTTCCCATGCACAGTAAATGATCTATTTTAAATTGAGAGCAATCTGAAACGATTATTTGGTCACTATTCAAGCCTAAAAGGTGCCGGAAAGCAGGAAACAGTGAGAATCTGTAATGTCTAAGCTCATTTCTTTTTCTCCATTAATGAAAAGCATAGAATTAACTCACAATATTTATAGCTTGATAAATATGTGCACTTATTCCTGTGTATCAGGTTAAGCTCTTGCACCTACGTCTCTTATGAAATAAAGATTTATCCCTATTTTAAAGATTGAAGTAAGTTTAAATATCTTTGATGGCTCTGCTAATTTGCACGATTCAAGTTTTCTAGTCTTTTTAACTCCCTGGACACTTGTCTGTCTTTGCATCTAACCATTCTTGAAGACAAGCCAAAAAGAAAAAGAGCCTTCATTTTCGTTTTACCATTGTTGAGGAGAATGTGAAGAGGTCTGATTTTTAAATGATTTTTAATTTCACTCTACCATTAAGGTTGATTCAGGGCTTCCTCTGGACATATGGGGAAGGAAACTTTTTGGTAATTGATTCCCATCCGGTAAGCAGTTTAATGGCTTAGGAACAAAACATAGGCTCAAGTTCTAGGAAGTTCAAACAATTGGGAGAATTTCCTTGGGGAGAGGCAGGTATCCCAAAGCCAAGTACCACATGTAGCTTATATAATAGGCAGACAGAATTAGAAAGCCCAGGAATCTCAAGTTTTGTCTTTGCTGTTAGTTGTGTGACCTTAAGTTTTAACCTCTGTGATCAGCTGGTTCTTAATGGGAAAAAAATCATGAGGCTGGAATATACACTGCCTTTCAGTTTTAGCATTTAAATGGCACCACATTTACCTGAATTCGCTGAAGAATCCTCCCTTTTGACAATTTTGCAGGTAGTGGCTGTGCTTACATTCCTCTCGACTGACTTTCCAATTACTTAGTGGATACTAGAGGAGAGGGATAATGGAGTTTTGCAAAGTCCTGAAGGAAATTCTAAAATGCACAATTATCTTTAATTTTGGAATTCTAGGTTTGGAATTCTTTCAACAAGTGATTATTTCCCTCAATCCGTTCATTCTTATGCCCCCCTTCCCATCCACTTCATAAAAACAATGTTCAAAAATCGAAAAGCACAAAACAAGACAGGGGAAAAAATAAGGCTAATTCACTTAGGTGAATTTCACTTTTCCTTTCATTGCTTGTCTAAATACATCCAGTTGCATGTATTACTTTGCAATCTGCTTTCTTTTGGAAATATATATCTTGTGGGTATTTTCCCATGTAATAACACGTACTTAAGTCGCTTCTAACCTCTTTTTCTTTGTCATTTCTTTCTCCTTTCTAGGGCACTAGGGGCCAGGGAAGCCTAATCTTATACAGTAGTACTGGCGGTGCTGGTGATAGAAACAACGTGGTAAAGTTATAGACAGGACAGAAGGGGGTGGGGGCAGGAAAGATTCTTTAGAAGAGAAAAAATAGAAAAAGATCTGAAATTCCCGATACTAGAATCTTTGCATATTGTTTTCAGTAACTTCAGTAGGGGGCGCTCGGAAGTTGTCGCCACTTTCCGGACAGCCTACCGGACTTTACCCTCTAGATATTGTACGGTGTTTCCGGCTCTTCTCAGTTGCAGACGCTCGTAAGTTTTCGGCAGTTTCCGGGGAAACTCGGGGGCTCCGCGTCTGGTTTGCTGTGTTCTGTCGCTGGGTTCGGTGGTGTAGGGTCTCGGGCTAGTCATGGCGTCCCCATCTCGGAGACTGCAGACTAAACCAGTCATTACTTGTTTCAAGAGCGTTCTCTTGATCTACACTTTCATCTTTTGGGTGAGAGACAGTGACGGTCGCGGATCCCGGGGGTTGGGTGAGGGGTGTGACCCAGAGCGGAGGGAACTCGGGTCCAGAGTGAGGTGGGGTTTAGGCGGGCGTCGCTTCTGGGGCCCCGGCGCTAGCGATGAACGGCTGGGCCCCAAGCCTGGAGCTCGGGCATAGCGTGGACGCTGGGGTCGGGATGCGGGACAAGAGCTGCAGACAGGCTAAACTGGGACCCGTCCCAGGCGTTCGAGTTAGGTGCTGGAGGCGAGGAAGGGAATTATACCTCCACAGCACCCAAGGATGTCCTTGAACCTTTGGAGAGGCAAGGTTTGCCCCTTTGAGGGCTCGCTTGCATAATAGTGTCTTTCTTTTCACTGCTTCATAAGACGGGAGTGTTTCGCAGGTAAGTATGGTATGGCTTCACTCCCGCCAGCCTATCCTTGGGATTGCTTTTGTGTACCCTGCCTTTGTATCTCGTGTTCATCCCTAAATTGGGCATGGGATGGGGGATGGGAGAAGTCTCTGGCACTCTGAAACACTTTTTTTCCCTTCATGAAGGTTTTCTTCCTAAGGCGGGAGTAAAATGGTTAAGAAAATTTTGATCCCCAGGGCAAATATGCCAAGGGGTTGTGCTCACACAGTAAAACAGATGAATTTTAAGAATTTTGATAAGAGTCCACAGCCTACCTTTGTGAGCAGGTCCTCTTCCTGCCCTCTTTCACCCTCCCCTCTTGTCTGCCATGTCTCAGCCACAGCTCCGTGGCCTGATATCAGACTGCTGAATAAATTCTCACACCCATTGTGTCTTAAGTATTTCCTGGTTTGTGATTTGAAGATGCTAGAGTATACTGTGCCTAACTGTTTATATTGTCTGATTTCTCGCATAGATCACTGGTGTAATCCTTCTTGCTGTTGGCATTTGGGGCAAGGTGAGCCTGGAAAATTATTTTTCCCTCTTAAATGAGAAGGCCACCAATGTCCCTTTTGTGCTTATTGGCACTGGCACTGTCATTATTCTTTTGGGCACCTTTGGTTGTTTTGCTACCTGCCGAGCTTCTGCATGGATGCTGAAACTGGTGAGTCCTTGTTTTCCTTAGAATATTCTAGGTTTTCTTAGAAAAGGCTTACATGTTCTAAGCATTGTTTCTTGGAACTGGCTACAACTTTTTTTTTTTTACAATTTTTCTTGTCCTTTATTTATGAGAACTTACTAAGTGCAGCTGCCAATTTCGATTTTCAAAATAGATACTTTGATATTGTTTTCCTTGCCCTTTCCAATAAAAAATATGTTAAACTGGTTGAGCAGAATACTTTTTTCCTTTGGCTTCTTTTACAGCTGTGGTATATCTTATTTATGCTCACTTGGATTTTCTTTTTATCCCACAGTATGCAATGTTTCTGACTCTCATATTTTTGGTGGAACTGGTTGCTGCCATTGTAGGATTTGTTTTCAGACATGAGGTAAGTCTGAATTAGGGAACCTAATATGTTAAAATTTATCTTCTAAGACAAAAATGGATTAATTTATGTAACAGAGTTAGACAACTTTTTTTTGGCATTGTTGGGGTTTGAACTCAGGGCTTCATGCTTGCTAGGCAGGTACTCTACCACTTGAGCCATTCTGCCAACCCATTTTTGTGTTGGGTGTTTTCGAGATAGGATCTCATGAACTGTTTGCCCGGGCTGGCTTTGAACTGTGATTCTCCTGATCTCTGCCTCCTGTGTAGCTGGAATTATAGTTTCAAAATCACAGTTGCTTAGAAATTTGTAGACTGATAATCACCAGAAAAAAGGCATACATAATTACATGAGTGTCCAGTTACAGATAGGAAAATAAAGTACAAAATTGATACCTTCTCTACTTAAGGCATGTATTTTTAAAAGAGTGGATATACTTAATGCAAATCATCAAAAGCTTAAAAATGATATATTAAAAATAATATTGAAATCAAATAAATCTGTGGTTGTTTGGAAGTCATTCAGTGAGTATTTTATAAACTGTTAGTGCAGTTTCCCAAAGTAAGGTTTTTGTAGTTTAATTGTATAGACATTAAACTTGTACAAAGTGGAGAAATATTTGGGGGTTAGGGGTGAAGCAGGCAGTATAGAGCTGCTATTTGGATAAATGTTCTCACAGCACTTTGAACTTGCAGTGGTTTTCATATTGTGTTGTAGTGTTTTACTTAGTTCCCTCAGCTAAACTATGTCCTTTAGAAGACAGGATTAAACCATGGAAGTTAATTATCATACATTAAAGATACAACCATTGGCCAGATGTGAGAATTTATTTGACCTAGAAACCAAAAGATCTTTCTAGAATATTTGTTTATAGACATTGTGTTTCTTTTCTGTAGATTAAGAACAGCTTTAAGAGTAATTATGAAAGGGCTTTGAAGTACTACAACTCTACAGGAGATTATAGAAGTGAAGCCGTAGACAAGATCCAAAGCACGGTAAGTAGTCATAGATGGTGGCTTTTAAGAGGAAACACATTTCTTATTGCTTCTTAGGGAAAGATAGATCCAGGCTACTATATATTGTCCACTTGTTTGGGAAAGAAGTGGCATATCTGTGTTCCCTTCATTCTCCTCATGTGTCCCTGTTCTCGTCCTTACCCACTTACATCGTAGACAAATGTTAGTGCCAACTGTAGCAGGAAATAAGACCAATCCAAAACTGTCACCCTTCATGTTAGAAACAGTTGCAAATCTCTTGAATCAATTGTAAAGATCATTGAGTACAGTAAGTGTTGTTTTGGGCATGAATTGTCATAAAAGATGATGTTAGGTTAAATGTTTGACTACAGCATTGTAATATGGACTATAAATGTTTTGTTGGATTTTTCAGTTGCATTGTTGCGGTGTCACCGATTATAGAGATTGGAAAGATACTAATTATTATTCAGAAGCAGGATTTCCCAAAAGTTGCTGTAAAGTTGAAGATTGTTCTCCACAGAGAGATGCAAATAAAGTAAACAATGAAGTAAGGAGCCCTTTAAATTTTTTTACTTGACAATATTTGAGGACTTAACTGAATACAAAGTTGACTTATTATTTAATTTTTACTCATATCAATACACATAATGTGAAATAGGCAGAGCAGGCAGGACTTTATTTCATACAATTGGCAAGTAACACTTTCAAATGCACAACTCGAAAGGAGGAAATGGTTGGGATTGAGAGCATATAAAAGAGAGTAGATTTCAATAAAAATGACAAAGCTCATCTTTTTTGTGGAGGTGTATGATCAAAGTATTTGTTACCACAAAGGAAAGCACGATTGCTTGTGTTAATGTTTTTACCTCTTCTATTAGGGTTGTTTTATAAAAGTAATGACCATTATAGAGTCAGAAATGGGAGTTGTTGCTGGAATTTCCTTTGGAGTTGCTTGCTTCCAGGTAAGTCCTCTTGTTCCTTGGGAAATGTTTCATCCTTCTTGTAGGTATAGACTGGAAGGTTTTCACTTTTAAGGCTTGAAAGTTTTGCTAAGGAGGCTGGATAAGGAGGGCAGTGTAAAAGAAGTCACATCTTCACGAAACTCTTTAGTTTCCCATCAAGGTACAGAAATACTTTTGTTTTTCTTAATTTTGATTTTGTGATTAACATTTTTTAGGTTTTTTTCTTTAAGAGGGTATATCTTGGGTCTTATGTTTTCCTGCACTGTTTCCACAACTACAGGGCACTCTAAATTTTTATTCCCATTGTCATGGCCAGTCACACCTTGAAACTACAAAAAGCAAGACTTAGAATTTTGTAGTGCTAGGGATCAAACCTAGGGCCTCACAAATGCTAGGTAAGTATTCTGTCACCAAACCACTTCCCCTCCCAGTATGTATATAAGTTCCAGCCTATAAAAGTTTAGATCATATAACCCCATATTCAATATGGCCTCTGATTTTTGCATTGATGCTGTGTTGCAAATTGAGTTGTCTTTCCCAAGTTGTGCTACTCACTGTATCATGGAAACTTTGATTTGTGGCTCTAAATGATTTTTTGGGCATGTTTTTTCTTAAATTCAACATTATAGAAATAAGACTAATGCAATATGTTTTTAAAGTAGTATGCCAAACTATCTAAATATGTACTAATACAATAGCCATTAGCCTGGTAGGAACAGTTCTAATTATTAAATAAAGTTAAAACTTCAGTTGATCTAGCCCCATTTGAAGTGCTCAGTAGCCACATGGGACTAGTGTCTACTGTGTTGGACAGTACGGGTATTCTAGAACATTTATACCATTACAGCACTGCTTTCCAAGAAAATTCCTGCCCTCATAGATGGAGATTTTACCGGATAAGATGCTTATTCTAAGCCATATCTTAATGTTTTGGTAACTGACGGTTTGTCCAAAACTCATGACTCTTGAATTTTCCTTCAGTGTTAGTTGTGAAGTTCTGGGTCACAGTAGTAGTAAAATTTCACTATATTTGAATATGATCTATTGCTTGCATTCTACAATTAAACATAATTGTTTAGAAAAACTCAAGGAAAGAAATTATTGGTGAATCACAAGTAAAAGGAGAATCCATCTATATCTTGAGGTCTTTAAGCTCTTTTGTGTGTGTGTGTTTAATTTTGTTCATATTTTGTTTCAGCTAATTGGAATCTTTCTCGCCTACTGCCTCTCTCGAGCCATTACAAATAACCAGTATGAAATAGTGTAACCAGTATACACACAGGCTTTATCCTCTCCAACTTTAAGGTGTGTTCATTTTGGTCCTCAGTTCTGTTAATGTTGATATTTACTCCAGCCTGTGATGTGGTGTGTGGACTGAGTTTGCTGAGGTCTTGTTCAATAGCATATTCAAATCTTGGTTAGTGCTGAATTGTTAGGTCCCTTTCTACCAGGAATTGCCAGAAAGGAATAACTTAGCTTGTCTATGCACTTTCTCTCCATTAATGCAGTAGAAGAGCCCCTCTGGGTTTACATGTTCATATATACATGTGAACCTAAAGATCTTTCTTTCTCACATATCTTGTGTGTGTGTGTGTGTGTGTGTGTGTGTGTGTGTGTGTGTGTGTGGCACTGGGGATTGAACCCAGGGTCTTGTAGATGCTAAGCAATTGCTCTGCACACTCTTGAGACACACCACTAGTCATTCACCACACAATCTTAACCAGTGCTTAAGAGCTTAGGAGCCATAAGTTCACCTGACTTAACCAGCAACCAGATTTGGAGGAAATAGTAAAATATTATGAGAACTGTTATTGACTGAATTAATCCCTAGGGCACCCTTTACATTTCATTTGAGCCACTGATTGGGAACACATGGGAAGTTCTTCATTCCTGGGGACGGATTAGAATGTGGGCATACATACAGTTACTGAAGTTTATGGAACAAGTAAATTAACTTTTTTTTCTGTAATTTTAGGTTACTTAGGTGTTCCCTGTGAATTTTAAGATCGCCTGTATGGAGACTGACAAGAGTAGCTACGAATAGGCTGAAAAACTACACCGATAGATTGAAAAACTACACCCTACAGACTGATTAAATCAAGATATTTGTTTACTACATTTTAAGTCCACCTTCTGTCCTATGTATGTTAGATCATTGAAACCCCATATCTCTCAAACACTGGAAAAGCTAGTAAAGTGTAAATGAAATATTGTGTTTCTCTCAACTTTTATTTTTCTCAACATGGGGCCTTTGAAAGTGCTGTGAATTTGCTGTTTTGGTAGTGGTGTTATTGATGAAAATTTAACCCCTCCAAATTTGTTACTGATGCAGTATGATAGAAAATTGACCTCTCTGAACAGGCCTCTTACTGGCCAAGATTATCTGGTTTGATTGTATAATTTGCACCAAGAAGGTTAAATGTCTCATTAGTCTCTGTTCTGCTGACAAGCAGAAAGTCATGTTATATAATTTAATTCCAGGTAGTCATTGGATGGCGCCTCTCATTGCAGTTTCTGGGTGGTGGTAACAGTGTAAGGCTTTGGGTCTAAAGCACCAAGACTAAGTTTCAACACAATTTACATTCTTTGCCTCCAAGCTAAGGGATTTGTACTGATGTTTATACTTTCCCTATGGTTTGGAAGGTTCTGATTTTACTTTAATGGTGTCACAATAATTGTATTTTCCTTAGGATTTTAATGGAACTTCATTAACTTTAGCTAGAATTTCCTTATCAAGTTGATAAGACTTAATTGTCAGTATTATGGTCAATTTTAATAGTCTTAGTTTTGGTTTATGTCCTTGATTAATATTTTACACAATAAATACTGTTTTCCTCTGAAAGAATTGTGTTTAAGTTTTAGAAAATCTACTGGGATGGTTGTTTTCCAGTGAGAAGTAGATTCCCACATTTCTACTTGGAGTACAGTTTTTTCAGTATGAAATCTATGGCTGGGGTCTTGAATCTGTCATTTAAAAAATTAATGTCTCTTTAAAAAGCTATTCCCTTTGATAGGATCACATTTCAGGTTAGTAAATAGCATATGCTTAGCATTCTCCTAGAAATAAGACATTTTTGTGTAGTTTGCATGAAAAAGTTGTATAGGGAAGGATGTAACTTGTGTCTTCAGAATAATAAATTAATGATTATTAAAACTTGGATTGAAATGGGAAATACTTCTTTGGTTTTGAGTCTTTGATACATCTATTAGGGGGCTGGAGGTGTGGTTCAAATGTTATACATCCATTAGTGAAACCTATTTCATCTACGATTGCCACACAGTCCACACAGTCCCTGAATTGGACAAAAAAACTACTAGTTAATTTGTGAAGAGGAAGGGGACCAGCAGTAAGGAGGAAGGGGAACAAGAAAGGGCAATGGGGAGGGTGAATGTGATCAAAGTACAAATACACGTGTATGAAAATGTCATAATGAAGCCCATTATTTTGTACAATTTACACATTGATAAAACCTAGTTAAGTTAAGAAAATGAATTTCAGGTACATGTGTTAAAATGCTTGGAGTTAGTTAAAAAGGATATTCTCCATTAGAACACTTGGTAAGAGTAGTTTTTGACACAAGTGATTAGAAAATAATGTTGAAAAATAGTGTTTCTCCAAATGTAGTAAATCATTTCTGGCTATTGGCATAGTGAAGGTAAAGAGGTAAATATTTAAGGATCACCAAAGCAACTTTCAAATAGGCATTTTTCTCTAGGATGGCCTTGAAAAATCTTTTAATATTTTCTTTAGTTTTTTTTTCAAAGGTTTTTCCCTCATCATTAATAGGAAAAAAGCTATATAAAATTAAAATGTGAGAAGTAGAAAAAGAAAAAAAAAACTCAGAACACACTTCTGAATGAGTAGCTTTGTTTCTAAGGTGGGTTTATTTTGGATGGTCAGTTACAAAATCTTACAGCTTTGTGTGTGTGTGTGTGTGTGTGTGTGTGCGCGCGTGTGCGCGCGCGCGCATGCGGGATTATAAACTTTAGTTCTGAAGGTAATGGGTAGCCTGGTTTCAGCTGATCATAACTGGTACAATGAAAGTTCATGTGCCTTTAACACTTTGCTAATTAGAATAGCTGGTTAGTGCTAAAGGATCTGAACATAACATCTGTGCCTTCCTGTGATGTCACCTGGCAACGTGAACAATGGCAGAGGGAGCAAATTTGCTCAGTGGCACTGGCCTGGACTTTGGGCTTCATAACAAAATTCCTTTGCAGTTTTGTTTTTATAAAAATCTAGTGAATTTTGTATTTTCCCCACAATATATCCCATGTTTAAACTTAAAATAATTTTCCATATTTGATGTGCCAAATATATCCTGTGGGCTGTCTTATTTCCAGGCACCAGATTTCTCATTGCAAGGTGGCTTTGAACTGTGCTTTGAGAAGCAGAGATCTGTTAGGTATATTTTCTGAAAATGTGGAAAGCTTGGTAGCTTTCCAGGACCTGTTCCATGTGGGCTGCTGGGTGTATGTTGCAGGGCCATCAAACGTGTGGAAATAAATACCTAATATAAGGTATAAATACCATTTCTGTTTTTCTCAGAGCTCACACAAGATTCTTAGAGACTTGCTGTTTTTAACCTCCTGTCAGAGACTTGCTGTTTTTAACCTTCTGTCAGAATCCAAGTTGGTATTCTGTCAGTGATGTGGCCAAACAAATCTGTTAAATTATGAGATGCAAGGCAATATAAGCATTTTTGTGTGAAACTGAGGAAATTTTGATTCCTTTGGACTATTTTGTGTGGGCTTCTGTGTTTGTAGAAAAAAATCTAACACAAGATATAAATACCATTTCTGTTTTTCCTAGTAGCATTCATAAGATAGTTTTATTTTTTAACTTTTCTGTTCTTCTGGGTTGGCAAATCAAGCCTTCTTAATTGAAAAAAAACAAAAGGCTAATATATCAGAAAAGAATATATAAATTGAAACAGCTACAGGGAAATGAGACTTTCATTTTTTACGTTCTTGGTTTAAAATTTTGCCCAGATTGTTTGGGATCGCCCTTGTGATTTAATTATGGCTTTTCTATTAGGTATCCCTACCCCGTGGAGCTCAGTGGAGTTAGTCGCTGGTAAAAGCACAGTAAATACTAATGGAATAAATGAATGAACGAGTGAGTAATTATAATGACTCTTTAATGTTCTGAGTAAAAGAAGATGTTGATGATGTAACTATCTCATTCTATATAAGCCACCATTTATCTAATAGAAACCACCTGCTCAGTCAGAAACCACTTAACCTCAGAAACCACTGCTTACTTCCTCCTGGTCAAATCACTTTTTGCTTCTCTTGAATTCTTGGCTACATTTGATGCCACTGAAAATTTTTTCTTTGGTTTTTTTTTTCTTTGACCTTGTAATGAATGTCCTGATTTTTCCCAATTATTGATATTTTTAGTTTCCTTCACTGTGAATTTCCTCTTCCTTTTCCAATGTGGCAGCCCCCAAGGCTTGTATTTGGCTTTCTGTTCCTAGGTTAAGCTGACCTTCCTTTGAAGAATTAAATGTAGATGATCAATAGGACTAACCTCCTACACTCACTCAGATTATGCACTTTAGTTGGTCATAGCAGCTTGCTTGCATTTTTCTGACCCTCCAACACCCGAAAGCTTAGTATTCTGAATACTGAAAAATTTAAAATATCCCTCTATAATGTGTGGGCAGTAGTAAGGCACTCATTCGATGTTGACTGAGTTAGCTCCTTCAGCAGGGTGACAGTTTATGGAAATTGGGGAAAATGGGGCAACTGCTGTAAGAGTTTACTATCACTGGCTCTGCTACGTGCAATGATCGGGTGAACATCAGTTCTTTGAGTAAAATTGCCATACTTGATTGGGTGGTGTTCTCATTACCACATTCTCAAAAGATTTTTTTTTTTGGCAGAATCAGGGTTTCACACTTGTTAGACAGGCACTGTACCACTTGAGCCACTCCACCAGCCCTTTTTTGTGTTGGGTATTTTTTGAGATAGGGTCTCACAAAGTATTTGTCCATGCTGGCCTCGAACTGTGATCCTCCTGATATCTGCCTCTCCAGTAGCTAGGATTACATGCGTGAGCTACTAGTGCCAGGCCCACATCTTCAGTTTTTTATTAAAAACTTGAAATGGTGAATTGGAAAGACTTTTCTCTATTGGAACAGAAGTTGCTCATCACCTTTTTGGGGAAAATACAAGCACTTACATAAGTGTAGCAACATCCTCAAAGCAAATCAAACTGATACAGCATGGACATATATAATCAATTCACAAGTGGGTGTGAACAGTGGGTACTACTCAGGATCATCACTGCAAAGTAGAATAATGATATTATGTACACACTTAGGGCAACACACTCAGGGTACAGCAATAGGCAATTTTACTCTGTCCAGGAAGGTCACGTACTTCCTTAGCAGCAAAGTGTCATGTAAGAGAGGTAGACCATTTGCACAAAGGCTTCTCTTTCTTTGACTCAGTTTCTTCTCCAGAGGATTGAGAACTAGTGTTTACTATGCACTTACTAATTGCTACAATTGGCTATCCTATGTAGGGAGATGCTACACCCTTGCCAAAAAAAAATGAGGATTAGGTTAAATACTTTGCCCAAGATCATACAGCTAGTATGTGGCAGATCTGGGAATTGCACTTAAGTCTGATTCCGAAGTCCGATTTGCTGGGGATTGAACCCAGGGCTTTGTGTAGAGTTTTAGCACTGAGCCATACCCCTAGCCCTGATTTTGCTGCATCTTAAAAGCAAAGGGAATTATGTGACATAGCCTATAGCTAGAGAAGAAAAGTAAAAAAACATTGTCCTTTCCCAAAAATATCTTTTAATCAGTCTTTATTAAAAATGAAATCTTTTAAAATATGCCCTTGTAATGTGTTACTATCCAATAAATTCACATTAAGAACAAACCCTGCATTCTGAGTGAGGTTAGCCTGGCTCAAAAGACCAAAAATCGTATGTTCTCCCTCATATGTGGACATTAGATCAAGGGCAAACACAACAAGGGGATTGGACTATGAGCACATGATAAAAGCGAGAGCACACAAGGGAGGGGTGAGGATAGGTAAGACACCTAAAAACTAGCTAGCATTTGTTGCCTAACGCAGAGAAACTAAAGCAGATACCTTAAAGCAACTGAGGCCAATAGGAAAAGGGGACCAGGAACTAGAGAAAAGGTTAGATCAAAATAATTTAACCTAGAAGGTAAACACCCACGCACAGGAAATCAATGTGAGTCAATGCCCTGTATAGCTATCCTTATCTCAACCAGCAAAACCCTTGTTCCTTCCTATTATTGCTTATACTCTCTCTACAACAAAATTAGAGATAAGGGCAAAATAGTTTTCTGCTGGGTATTGAGGGGGGAGCGGGAGGGGGCGGAGTGGGTGGTAAGGAGGGGGTGGGGGCAGGGGGGAGAAATAAACCAAGCCTTGTATACACATAATTGAAATAATAAAAGAAAAAATGAAAAAAAAAAAAAGAACAAACCCTGTTGTTATTCCAGGCCCCCACAACATTACTGAACAAAGGAAATGATTACAAAGAGTTGATTGCAGTTAAACATTTCACTCCTCCCATTCTCTTTAAAGCATAGTGTAAAAATGCTTCTAAAGTTTATAAGTTAATATTTCCTATGTTGGTAAAGATACTCTACAACACTAGAGCTGCTTTCATAACACATTCCCATGTGAATGTCTTTATTAAGT